TGACTAAATATACATCATATGTAATTATACTGTAATTAGTCATATACAAGTATATAAATAAAACTATAATTTGTTATTAATAAAGTAATAGTTACATTACATAATATCACATATTTTCTGCATTACATACATGAATAAATATGTATTTTTTTTAAGTGTTATGTACTATATCTCCAAGAAAATATGATTATTTCATTTATAATTTGATATGAGTTTTATCCATCAACAATAATTCACATTCTAACATTCAACCAAAATGCTATTTTTTTAATACGAATTGTATTTCTGTGGATAGTGAATAGGGTGATTCTTTTAACAGTGATCATCCATTGTCTCAAAAAGTATATGTATTTAAAACTTACAAATCCAAGTTATAACTAATTAATTACTCTTTAAAAAATTAAAATTTTTATATTTGTAGTAAAAAGTACCATTCAAAAAGTTATAAGACTAAAAATTGTAAGATAATATGTTTTTTTCAGAAGTATCAATAGTTTTTAAAATAATGAAATCTTATGACAAAAAAGTCATCCTGTATAAGTAATTATATAATATTCATTAATTATCAGCTCTGTGTTCATACTTTATGACCTTGCATGCATGATTTTTTTTTTTTAATAAAATATTCTAAAATACTTAATGGATCAACCTATATCTGTACAGAAAATAAAATGAAATATTTCTGGTGGAAAGGAGGAGGCAGGGGATATATCAAAAAAATAGATCACTGTAGCATATCTAAAAAATGTTTTAAAAAGAAAAATCTGGGTGGGTTATCATATAAGAAATACATACATATTAAAATGAGACATATATACTAGGTGATCCATTTTAGTATCATTACTCATTAATTCAATTTTGACTTTTAAAAATATTTCTTTTAGATAATTCTAGTGTAAAATAACACTTTAAAAAATGTCCAACTATTATATTTTTATGATTCTTGTTAGTTGTTAAGTTAAGAACTTAGTTGTTTAGAACGGAAAACAAACATTTTTGAATTTAAACTCTGAAGCAAAATATTGTTCGGAGTATTTCAATGAATAAAGATCAAATTTTAAACAAGGCATTAATTATAAGTATTTATAGTTAAGATAAACAGAGGTTGACCAACATTTTACGGAATACCTAATAAGAGTGCCCCTACCATCACAAAAACTTAAAATAACATTTGAAATAATGTCTGTAGACACTTATATGGATCATGTTGTACAACAATTTATTATCCGGTATTAAGTTATTGCCGACCTTTTATTTATAACACTAAAGCTAATTGATACTTATGTCATTTTATATACAATTATATTGTAAGAATAATAAAATTACAAATAATATGTATTGCACTATTACCTCTTTCCGCTTTTTTAAAAAATCTCTATCAAAATTAGTTTCTTCAATACTTTTGTTACAAGTAGCTTTATAGGTATTTTGGAGATCATCAAGTTTTTTATTGAGTTTTTCTAAAGTATTCTTTAATGTTCTTGTTGGTTTTTTAGGAAGTAGTTTTGCTGTTAAATGTTTTTTATCTTCACAACTTTGTACAAAATATAATTAATTAAAAAATGTATGTTATAAATTATTAAACAATTTAAAAATTATGCTTACAGTGTAATAGTGTTAGTATCCAGATCTACACAAGTCACATCTGTGGGTGGCTCATATAAATCAAAAAACCTTGAATCAACTCCAATCAGAAATGGTAATGGAGCGTGTAAGACTTCAGCCAAACCAAGGGGGCATAATGGAATATATGGACATTGCCATTTAAACGGGAATATCAGCTGAAAATTGGTTGTAAGAATATTTATAAATATAATATAAAAAATATTAATTATGGTAGTTACATATTTTTTGTTAGCAAAAATATATCACTTATGAAATTATGATTATAATGATTTAAACAAAAATACTTTAATTTTATTTATTTACCGTGGATACTGCTTCTGCTACTGCGGTAAGTACATTTGGTCTTAAAGAATGAATGAGAAGTTTCTGTTCCGTTAGGGCACACAAAAGTAATAGAAGACAATTATCAGGATGTAAATTCATAATCATTTGATGAAAACCGGCACCACTATAAATATATCATTAAATTATTTTATTGAATTTTATATTAATACAAATTACCAATTAATTTAAAAATAACTTTAATTAACTAGTTTTTTTTTTAACTCTGAATACCAAAATTGGAATATACAGGTTTACTGTACAATCTATTATTAAAATAATATATTACAATTATATATAATAATTATTTTAACTTTTAATCTAGGTGAAAATGAAATTTAAGAATTCTATTATTAGGAGCTAAATACAATGTTTACTGTAATATATAAAATATTCTTAATAAAAAGTTTAAAAAATGTTTAACCTGCCTGAAATAACTTAATTAAATTACCTCCTAGGAATGGGTAGATCTTCTGGTTGAGTTAATATAAGCTGTGTGTCCATTGATAATTGTACAAGTATCTGCGGTCTTTCTGGAGAAGGAAATGGTACTTCATCCACCAAATGTGTTATATATCTTTCAATAGGTATGGGCATTTGTTCATTAAGAGAAGTCTTTAATAAAAACATTAAGAATTTTTGAAAAGTATCAAAAAAAGGCCAGTGTGATAAGACACACAGACTCTTATTAGCATGTAAACTGATTCCTTTTTTTAACTCATTTGAATCTTTTAAACCTAATAACTTTTGTTGTTCAATAGAAAGTTTTCCATTAAACTTTTCGTAAAAAGTAATTGCTGCACCATAGACCTAATTATAACAATCAATTTAACATTAAAAATTGTATGTCTTTTTCTTAAAGACACTATTGTATAATCTTTAAATGCATACTTTTTCTGAGGCATCGCTAACAGTTAAAACAAATGTAGAAAATATAGGATCTGGTTGAGATGCTTCATCTGGCCATGCCTCAAGTGTGGCTCCCATTGGTAAGCAAAATAACGCTACTGAAGGCAGAAGATGGAAGTAATTTCTATCTGTCTTAGGATATCGATCAGTAATAACTACAAAATATTATATAAAACACAAAATTATTGCTTAATCCACATAATTAAATTAAGATTAAGGAATATGAAAATATGTAGTTTTTACCTGGTTGATAGGTTATAGACTTGGGCTTCATAACAGACTTTTTGTAGCATAAGTAGACATCTGATCCAACTACACCTTTATTGAGATTTTTGTGTATTAGACAAAACGCATGAGGTGGTGTTTCTCCTCGGCTGGTTATAACTACACATACATGTGATACAGCTAAAATATTACAAGGTGCAGAAGGTGATGCTCTACGATAAGTTATAAAAGTTCGAGATGATGTAGAGTTATTGATATTTGCTATTTGGCCACTGACACTTGTTTTTAACACTTTAGCATCATGTAATACCCTTTCTTTGCCATCAAACATAATACTGAAAAAGAATCCCACATATTTACACAGAATAAAAATGTAAAATAAAAGGCTTGAAAATATTAATTTTTCTATAATGCAATTTATATTTTATAATATTAGGATCTGGCTTATTTAAGCTGAAAAAAATTATTTTGAGTAATCACGTTGTTAATATATTAAATTATGTTCCAATCTGAAATGTTATCATATGTCGCATTGCAACAAATAGGGTTTATTCAAAAAATACTAAAAATAGTCATGGTTTTTTATGTGAGAAATATTATTTATTTATCATAAAAATACCTAAAATATTCAAACATCCTATACTTCAGGTGTTTCAGTTGACATTTTTATTTAAACACTTGGCTGGGAGTGATACCATATTCCATTAAGGTAATTAATACCTGACAAAATTCAAGAAATACTTATTGTTTGAGGGGTTGGATATATCAATAGAGATAGTAAAACGTTTTTAATGATTCATCAACTTACACTCAAATTATAAGGAAACAAAAATAATAACTAATTCAGTATTTATAATACAAAATTTAGGTGGATAATAATAATGATGTTAATTTCAATAAATATATTTATATTTTTAATTACCCAATATCAACAATAGGAGGTTTATTACGTCCACGTTGGTAACATAAAAATACTTCTGGACTCCTTAGACTTCCATGATTTAAATCTGCTACTAGACCTAACATTGAAATAAAATTAGGTAGATTCAAACAATTAAGTGTTTAATCATAGACTCACCAGTAGGAGTCGTCTCTATAAGCGTATAACCAGGGGGCACCTTTTCACCAAGTGAAGGGAACACTATAGCTAAATCAGTAATTGGCGGTAAATCAGAACATAAACTTTGCTTTAGATGGGTAGAGTTAGTGTCATCTTGAGATTGTTCATCAGATGCTCCAACTACTACAAAATAATCAACTACTCTTCGTTCTTCCATAATTACTGAAACCTAAACAACATAAAAGTAGTTACTTGTTTAAAATATATAATATAATATATACCTGTAGTAAAATATTACACAAAAATCATGAAAAACAAAACCCAATACAGCCTTGGATGATCCAAGGTGATTTTGCAATACAAAATATTTAGTTACCTACTGTTTTTATGATAGAAGTAAAAAATAATATATATGTACAATTTTATATGTCAATATGAATTATTTAATGGTTCGAATCGTAATATAGAACACGGTCCATGAGCAACTGCAGCCATCACGGTGCAATTGATATTAATTTAAAAACATTAACACATTGTTATAACTTTCGTCGCAAAAGTAAACAGAACTCTGACAATCTGGAGAGTGGAGAAAAACATTCTATGATATATTAATATTATATAGGTAGTTGTAGGCCGAATGAAAATAATAATATTATACCATAGATAAGTATACTATTATACGAACCTATTGTTCATTAACAATTCAATTGATAAATTGGTTTTAACTTCAGTAGCAAGGTTTGTGATAGCAAAAATGATAAAGACACGGAATGTATAAAATATGTGTGTAATATGCATGTCAACCACCATTGGTCAAAGATGGAATATTATTTTCTTATCATTGTTTGTTTTATGCTCACTTATCTTTTATCTGTAACTATTGACGTCTCACAGCAGCTCGCTATTCAGTTGTGGTCAGTTGTAGTTGAGTACTCACTAGTCATTACTGCTTCCTAGTCTTTGTACTTACTACTAACCAGTCACAATAGTTCTGAAAAGTGGGAAGATTCGATATTTTACATTCATAACTTGTTAAATTTTGGTTTTTTACCTGATTTGGTAAATAAAAATATATTCATAATTTCTACGGGTTGTAAACTAAACGATTATTTCAATAATAATTTGACTTGATGACCAATGTTATGTTGTGTTATTAACTATTATAATGTCAAATCTGTGTAGAGATGATTTCGATTCGGGTCCTAAACATGTATTTTCTATTGAAGATGGTCTATGGCTAGGTAAAAACAAAATTAAATTATATCTTGGAGCATATTTTTATGAGAAAAAGTAATAACGCTATGATATGCAATGTATTCGCTAGAATAAGTTATAATATTTCATGTTGTAAAATTTATGTTTTCCTTATTAATTTTTAAGTATATCAATTTTCAAATATATTAATTTGTTTTGAAATAAATTTATCAACATATTGTTTTAATTTAGGAAACCTAACAGCTGCCATAGATTTAACATTTTTACGAAGCAACGGAATAAACTATATAATTACAGTGGATTCTTGTCCTTTACCAGAAATTATATTAGATTTGAGAGACATTAATGTTAAATATATACAAGGTAAATACATTTTCAAAATGAATCTATAAATATGATTATTTTTCACTATTGTCCACATATATATTTCATTTTCAAGTAGTTATTAAACCTCATCTCTACTAGATCAAATAACCTAGATTGTGTATTCATTATGTCTATTTATAATTTAGTTGATAATTATAAGGTTTTAAATTTAACTATTTAAATTGTGCATGCTTATAGTTACTGATATGGATGGTGAAGATCTTTTAAGCCATTTTGATAGCGCGTATGAGTTCATAAAAAAAGGTCAAGAAAAAAGTTCTGTTCTTGTGCATTGGTAAGTAAATGATCATTAATTTAAGTATTTATTTCAAAATATATAGGTAGTAACTAATTTAAACCGTTTAAAAGTATTTAGTTTTGACAAAAATAATCTTTTATATTAATCAGTATTCTTTATAAACTATTCAAATTTTACTAAATCATATATATATTTATATAACAAAAATGTATTAATGTACTTTTAGCTATTATGGAATATCCAGGAGTGCGTCAATTATTACAGCTTATATTATGAAGAAGTATAAAATTAGTTTTGATGATGCTTTCCAAAGGTATGTAGATAAATATTTATTAGGCAATGATACATAAATACATTATAACAGGTTTTGTCCAACTTTGTTGACCCTTCTTTGAAGACAAGGCATAAATAATGAACTAAATATATATTTTAATAATATAATACATTTAATAGTTATCATCAGTGGTGTATCCATAATTTTTTTTTGGTGGTGAGGAGGTTGAAAATTAATTGTTGACAAATTTTATCTGAAAATGTTATTTTTTACAATTTTAAGGGGGGGGGGGGTATAGTTTTTGTATAAATGTGTAAACTGGGTTTAGAACTATAAGAGGTTGGACCACCCTGCATTTTTATTTTTATTTTAAGTAGCTTTTCGTTACAGGCCATGCATTATAATTTATAATATTATATTTTATGTCAATACAAACATATTACAAATAATATTATGTATGAAAGAAAGAATGAATAATATGGTTTTCTTAGGTAACAATTTTGTAGTCTGATCTATTTTGATGGTAGGTAATACACTAATGCCCTACTGTGATTTTTCAAAAATGATAATCAACTACATACTAAAAATAATAAGTAGTGTAAATTATCTTCTGTTAAATATTTTTACTACTAGTGTCTTATAGAATTTAAAAATTTTAAATATCAACAATTAATACACATATAGTGGCATGCTTTAAATGATTTTTACCCTGTCAACCAAATAATAGATATTTAGTTGTTGAATATAGATTGGTCATTGATCAGCTTCTTTCTATTGAAATGAAGTAAACCCTTAATTTGTACCAGCAGATTATGGCTTATTTGGTTTTTAATTTTGCATACCTAATTGAAGATTGTTTATTAATTATTATTTTGTGTATGTATTCATATATAAACAATTATAATCATTGTTATTTATCAAGAATCAGTAAGTATCTATAGTAAAGCCTACTGTAGTAAATGCAATATTATATAAGTCTATTTGATAAAAATATGATACATACTTATTATCGGTTATCCAGTGACTATTGTTAATATTTATGTATGGTGGGATAAATACAACCATATTTAATAATTAATTGGTTTATCCTACATAGGAATATGTCCATAAGTTTATCTCAACGCTTAATTATTAAATGTATTAAAGTGGACAGTGAGCATAGTACTTATTCCAACATTTTTTTAAACAATGATTTGATTAATCATTAGGTAGGTGCTCATAAGTGTCTTCAGTCCTTCATTTTATTTTATTATTTTACTGTATTATTTAAAGAAATAAGAGAACTATTAATTATTAATTTATTTTAGAGTGAAAGTTAAAAATGCAGCTGCATTACCAAATATTGGATTTCAAGCACAACTTAGTTTGTATGAAACTCTGGGATGGAAAATTGACAAAAACAATATGCAATTTAAACTATTCAGACTGAAAATAGCTGCTAGAAAAGTAAAAAAAGGTATGTAGTTTTAATGAATAATAAAATTGAATAAATTGTTGTATACCTACCTGGTGTTATAAGTGTCCTATAGAACAAAATATACTCATAATTGAGTAAATATAAGGTTTTTATAAAATCATATAATATTGTTATTTACTTTTGAGTCAAAACTGACTGACCACAGAACTGAATGTATCAATAGGTTAGATGGTTTGTGGTAGAAATAAACAATATGTAAGATTAATCTAAAATTTAAATAGTTTACGATTATTATTGTCAGGGGTGTCATTCATTTCAACATTTTGTATGAAATTCAAAAAAATATAACAATCATGAGCTGAGTTGTGCCTTAAAAAGGTGTTATCAGATATCAATAAAATTTTTATAATTATTCGTTTTTTCAATAATACAAATGATATCTAGTTAGGTAAGACAAAAGATGTAGTTACGTCTTCAGGGTTTTTATACTATTGTACATTTATTTACATTTATAATATTTCCAAGTCCCAAATACCGTACCAATTATTTATGGAATAAACCTTCCAAGTAAAAATTATCCCATTAATTTGATTTACAATTATTAATATCGGTTTAAATAGCAATTAATTTATATAACTGTTTTTATATGTAGATACAGTACCCAAATAGTAAGTTTATAAGACAAATTAGTATTTTGTAGTCAAAATATGAAATAAATGAAGTGATTTGCCAGCAGTTTTCTAATACATTCCTAGTAAGTTGATTCTACGCGCTTACACCAGTGGCTTCTCATGAATTAAGCTGACCCGCTGTACTAAAATCCTGGGTATGTCACCAAGGTAGATACATAATGTAAAAATATATTAGTTTTTTTAAAATCATAAATGATTAAACATAATATAATTCAGATGATAATTTAAGATTAGTAGTAAAAATTGTACAGTACCTATTTGGAATCTTCTATAGCTTGGAAAAATGTATACAAAAATCACTCTTAATAAATCATTAAATTGTACAAAACAATTAAAATGTTACAATTTGTGTTAAAAAAATGTTTATCAATGATCAATTTCAATAATAAATTTGTACAATATAAAGATAATATCAATAGTTTGCAAAAGCACACCCTTAAATTTAACTATTGATGCATTTGACTATTGTGTATGGTAAAATATTAATAAGCATACTAATATTCCCTCGTAAAGTTTCAAGTCCCCCGAATAGTTACAAAAATTGTTTTTCTATGTTTGAACATCCAATGTCGTTGACATTTTATCATTAATCTTTATAAAAAAATTTTAGTACTACTTATGGACATATTTATTATTTTAAAAATTAGGCGATGAAATAAAAACAAAACGATTTGGAAATTGTAGTGATTTTGATGAATATTGAAACTAAAACTGTGTATTTTAATATATTTTATTTACTGAAGGAACAATTTATAAAATACCTAACACTATTTTCATGGTTTTTTACTCACAAACATTTTTAAATAAAATTTTTATCTTGCATAAATCAAAAGAAGTAATACTACTATTGCCTATAAATTAAGTACAAAAAAAAGCTAAAATGTTTTAAAATTGATGACATGTCTATTCATTTTTAAAAACTGGTGTAATATAAATTTTCCCATTCTTTCTTTTTAAGTTTTTTGGCCGGCATGGTAGCAACTAACCCAATTTGTTACCAAAATCGCTCCTTGAAGTTAACCTAACCTTAAGGTCAAGTTTTCTACTGTAACATTTGTAAATACAAAAAAAAAAAATTACACATTTTATACTGAATACATTCATCTCAGAATCAAAAATGAGAAATTTAATTATATATTATTGTTAAATTTATATTTTTGTTCTAGTTAAAATTTTGCCACAAGACTGTATTGACGTAATTAAAGCAGACCCATCTCTAATATGTGCTAGACCAGATCCAAAAGTTTATCGGTGCCGTAAATGCCGGTATTATTTCAATTATAATAATTAATATTGTATTTCAATCACCTGTTAAATATTATCATTATTTTAGAAGGATTTTAGCTTTACAATCAAATTTATTACCCCATTATATCAATGAAAAATTGTCATGGAAAGATTCAAAATTGTCTTCAGATTATTCAGGCTCCCAGTTATGTTCAGACACAATATTTATTGAACCGATGACTTGGATGTCAGTGAGCCAATCTGAAAGTGGAAAGATCAACTGTCCAAAATGTCGTTCTAAACTTGGCTCATATAGTTGGACAATGGGATGTCAATGTCAATGCGGTGCAAAAGTATCTCCAGCATTTTATTTTGTGCCATCTAAAATAGATTACAGTGGATTTTTGCAAAATGTTCAGGCTACTGTTTGAAAACCTACTATCTTGACAATGATATTCTGAATGGATATTGAATTTGTGTTAATTTGTGTTTTTTTTTTCATGTTTTTTTATGTGTTATTCACTTATTAATAGGTATTAAAAATTATTAAATTATTGATATTTAAGACAATAAATCCAAAATATACACAACCAATGACCCTTATATTCATAAAAGTCAAAATTAGGTCATTAGCGTAAACTTCATCCGCTTAAAAACATTTTGAATATGAATACAGTTTGAAGAAGTTAACCTGTGAAAATACTCTACTCCATAATTACATTTTATCTAAGAGTTTGTATGAAATACTGCCAACAAATTCAACCAGTTATTTTATTAAAATTGTAGCTTATTAAATGACAAATAAGTATTTTTTGTTTAATGTTAACAGAAATTTTTTTATAAAAGTGTTCATAATAAAAATACTTATAAAATGTAGACTGAAGTACCTATATGAAAACACTTTTTAACCTTATTTTATTATACACATTTTTTTTATCATGACTGAGAATATATTACTGACTCCAATGGAAATATTGAATATTAAGAACACCAAATTTTGGTGTGGTAATCATAAATTATACCCGATATATTTTATTGATTTGGCTAATAATTAGCTCATTCAAACTTTTAAGGTTTAACTTATAATTATTTTCCATGTACATGTTTTAGTATTAAAATAAAACAAGCATAATAATGAATATTGTATAACAATTTCAATAAAAATAATGATATTGTTCTAACCACTATTTTCTTTATATTAAATTTTTATCACTGGCATCATTTTATTATATCTATAAATGGGTTTTTAATGCAAGACACTTATATTTTTTAATATCATATTTTATTTTTAGAATGTCAATAGTTACATTTTTTGTTTCATAATCTGAAGCAGAATATTTTTGGAGTATTTTGATACATAAAAACAAGTAGCGTATTAGTGATAACTTATAAGTTAAGCATAAATTGTTATGCACTTAACAATATAGGCAAAAGAAATTAAAAATTAGGTAATAGTAAAAAAAATGTATGCAGTTCACACCTTAATACGCAATAAATATTAAATGTTGTCAAACTGTACACAAAAATTTAGTCCTTTGTTTAAGATTATTACAATTTATAAAGATCACTGACAAAAATCCAAAAATATGCAATCATATAAACATTTAAACTCCACTCATAATTCATATGTAATATAAATATTAAGTGATGAAGAGCAGAATAATGGACTAACATTTTGATAGGTACCCCTAACCGTACCCATTTGCTATTGCTCTAATAATGCTCAGCAAAACTGAATACTTACGACTTATAATTTAAAACTATATATTCAAATTTCAATATAGATTCTGAGGGATGAGTTTATTGATTTTACAATGGTGAGTTTTTTTAATTTTTTATTTTGTTTCTGCCGTCACGGGTAGGCCAGTAAAGGGCAGTAAAAGTGCTTGCTTTTCTTCAACATCAACTTTTCTGGTAGGAAAGTGAATAAAATTGGCAAATTCTTGGGGACAAAATTCCCAATAGTTATCAAAGGCGACAAGAAAAATAAAGGAAAAAGGGGTATGTTTTCATAAAACATAATTGTATATTTTGTTCGGCTATACAAAATATTATTAGTACTTACTCAAAATACATCACTTATTCACTGATAATGTGTTACCTATATACTATAAAAGTATGTTCACATTTGGTATTAAAATTATTCATTAGAATAATATTTTAATAGGGTAGGCAATAAAACTTAGTTCGTTATGATAAATTAAAATAAAACTGTTTACTGGAATTCAACATTGTTTTTCTCAAATTATAGGTAGTTATTATTTTAAATAAATATTTAATATATTAATTATAATAATTATATTTAAAATTATGTGGATGATTTCTATAAATTATTAACAATGTTCCTAGTTGAACAATCTTCTTCTTTTTTTTTTATCACAGTCAACTAGCGATTTAACGAAATTCGATATAACGAATAAAACTACCGGTCCCTTGAAAATATCGCGGTATAACGAACAAATGTAATATATTTTGGTCCCCTCGATGTAGCGAAGCGTTTTTGATCAAAACTCTCGAGGTGTAACGAATTTTTATAAATTTGGAGCTTTCTATTACGAATTTTTAATTAAGATTATACACATGTCTCTAGTGTATAACTCTACGAAAAATATATAAAAATAAGTATGTTGCTATTATCACATAATACTATAATAGATTACGAAGTTTTTCTGATGATTATCATGCTATAGGACACTCAAGTACAGTATCCCAATTAAGATAAGACTTCTGTCGAATAAATACATACTTTTATGAGTCATTTATGTTATACATATGTATAGGAATAGTAAAATTATTAGATAAATATGTACAATCTCTTTAAATCTCGTTATAACGAATTCAATTGATATATTCTCTTGATATAACGAATTTTGATGTAACGAACTTTCGATATAACGAATTTTTTTCTCGGTCCCTGGAAATTCGTTATATCGCGAGTTGACTGTATTATAAATATAGTATAGATAGTATAGACTATGATATCTTGACAATTACATAATAAGAATAAAACAATATAAAATTAAGTACTTATATATACTATAAAATAAAGCAAGCCTCTTGTATAAAGGCAATTATTGTTTTGATAGCTGTTTCAGAATTAGAGTTTAGGATGGAATAAAGGTTGATGGGAATATTAAGAGACATAAGAGTGTTGAAAAGAATTAGTTTTTTAAGTCGGAGAGCAGGGCAGTTAAATAAAATATGAAGAAGGTCACATATACTCATTAGGAGGAAATGTGCAGTGTACAAAGTGGCGAGTCGTTTAGTCCAAGTTTAAATGAGTGACTACTAGTCATGTAAATACGTAATAATGAATGTCCTATCCGTAAACGATTATACTGGACTATATGAGACCTTTGTAAATTTAAGTTATTAAACCTTCACAATCTTCTTATTAATTTTTAAAACATATTTTTTGATCTATCCAAAAAATTAATGTTCACAAACTAAAAACATTATTGTTCTCTTTGTACAAAATCAAAAAGATCAGTGTATTAATGTAATATTACATTTAAACAAATACTATGTTTATTAATTACCATCTTTAACTATGTACAAAATGAAAATAAAAAAAAACAATGTCATTATTTGATTGTTAGTTCTTACATTATTAATAAACAATTACTAAAGTAATCAAAAATGTATATTGAGCAAAGTTTTTTTAACTCCGTCTGTACTTGTCCAAACAATATCCGAATTCATTTTAGAAGATTTTAAACAATCTAAAAATTCAGTAATCGAACCACCAACACCAAAATAATAATTTTTAGCAATTAATAAAATACTTCCTGATGGTTTTAATTTTTTTTCAAATAATTTGATAAGCTTCATATAGTTGTTCACATTGTATATAGTTTCTGATGTCAAAATTAGATCATAGGTATCTTCATTAAATGTAGTAAATGATTTCCAATCGCCTGAAAAGTATTTGCAAACTTCTAACCTTTCTTTACAATTTACTAATACATTCTTCATAGTTGTATTGGTTAATACTTCTTTATTAAAATCTTGAAAGTCAACATTCCGAGCTCCAGACATCAATGTGAAAATGCCTAAAAGGCCAGTACCACAGCCTAAATCCAACACTGATTTTTCTTTACAATATTTGGTATTATTGCTTAGATATTCTAAGAGATCAATGGTACATTCCCAAAGTTTAAATCCTCCTTCATAAGTGCCCGGAATGAGATCTGAATTGAATGAATTGGGAAATTCATCTACTAGTTTTAAAGACTTATCTCCAATGATCAATTCTGTAAATGGCAAGGTGGTCAACGCATAAGAATTAGTTAATTCTTCTGTTTTGATCACATGGGAATCATTTTCATAAGAATCAGACTCATCCAACTCAACGGCATTAAAATTGAACTTGAACATTTTTAAACATCAATTTCGTCTGAAAAAAAATGAATACACATTTTAACCGTAGATTATAATTTAAAATATTAAAAACTGAACAAATTATTATTTTGTTTTTTAATTTGTACCATAATATTTATAAAAATAATCTGTATACAACTATAAAAGAAATATGATCACATGATTTCACAAATTAACATACTTCAAAAAAAATGTGATCACAAGTTGTGATTTGTTCCAACTCCTCTAAAATATTTTTTTTTGTGATATTTTAAAATATCACAACACCATGCAACTTTAGTATTAAAACTAATAGCTAAATCTGTATATTTGGGATTTTACTATTTATAAAATATATGGACTCAATAAAATGTGATTCATTTAATGACTCACCTAATTAACAAAGATAATAACACAATAATTCCAACTATCCAAAGAGAAGATTTAATGGGAGTTGGCAGAGACAATATTATAGTATTGGCTAATGGCTATTATTAATGAACCCATCATGCAGAACATTTTGTTAGTACTGTAAATGGGGATTATTCACAGACAAGTTAATATTTAAGATACATATTCAAATTCAAGATATAAAGATGGGATATTATTGGGATTTGAAAATGACTATATAATTTAACTGAATGTAGGTATTATTCTATAAAATATCTAAGAGCACAATAAAAAAACAAATAATTTGTAAGTAAATTTTTAGGAAAAATATGAATTAAGTTTAAATTGTATAATTTTATAATAATATTAAATAGATTTTTTCAACATGATATTGGTAAATTATATTTTTTATCGTTTAGTAACTATGTTTTTCAGGAAGGTCTCTATTAAAAATATGACATTATGATTCACTATTATTATTTTATTTACCATACAATTTTATAAAATAAATAAATATTGGAACAAACAGAAATTTTGAGGGAGCGGTAAACTAGATTTATACCAAAATATTAAATACTTGCAGTATATCAAATTTATAAATATTTATATGATAATATTTTATGACTACAGATTCCCGCAATATTGTTTTTTTTTTTTTATTGTGCACAAGGTAGTTAAAATTTAAAAATTAAATAGGTATTTAAATATTTTTAATTTAATTTTTTTAACATTGAACTAAATTTAAGTAGTTAACATTTAATTAAAACATAGTCTTGTTCCTTTACTTTAAAAACAATTCTGATTAAATTTGTTTAGTCAAATATAAGATAGGTACTAAAATAAATAAATAAAATATTGATCATTAAAAATGAAAGTCCATGTTAGCATGGTGTTACTGACCTGTTTATAATTGTAAAGTTGTTTTGTAGATCATACAAAAAAATTAATTATTCAATAAACATATTCTTGATAATATTTAAACAAATCAGTAAATTCCTACCATTAAGTAAATATAATAGAACCCACCATTCATATTTTAATTTTTAAAAGATTGAATTAAAATTTAATTTAATATTTCGGTTAACGAACTTACTTTGTTTTTAAATTAAATTTAAAAGGTAAAATAACAATTTTCTAGACGCTCAATTTTTTATACTGTTAAAGAAAACCACTGATAAAAAGGTCTATCTATCCGCGAAGATAACAGCTTGTTTTGCCATATCAGTATATACAGTGGTGCCATTTAAAAATATTTTTTGCTTCTCAACACTTTAATTAAATTTTTTTTACTTTTTAAAAAATATTTATTTAGATCTTACTTACTAAATCACTTCTTCTTTCTCTTTAATCCTTATGTATAAAATATTGAAATGACAATGGTGTTAATTTTTTAGCGATCTTCAAAAATTAATCAACATTTTTTTTTGAGAAATATTCTGGTGAAAATAAAATATAAATTTTATAAATACATACATGGTGGTTATTAATAAAAAATACAATAATATTAATAGAAGCACAGAATAAAAGACATGTGAGGAAATCTATTTTGTTTTAGGGTAATATCTATAGTAAATAATATCATGTATTTTTTTTTTATCACGGACCAAGATATAATAATATTAGTAAACCTACTTGTCTATGATTATATCTTAGTCCTTGATTTGTATTAACTTGTGAGTGGTGTAATAATCAATGTAAATTATAATTAAATATTAATAATTTAAAAATGAATTCGATAAGTTATAATATACTTGAGTAGTTAATGTTAAGATACCCTAATAAACATTTTAACCATGGATCTTTGGATCCAACTTTTCTTTTGTAGGACAACAAAAATTTTTCTAAAATACACAATTTGTAAAATGTAATTAATGGAATTCATATATTCATGCCTACCCTCTAAATCATTCAGTGCATATACTTCAAAAAGCTTATATCCTTTTCTATATTATTAACAATTTTATATTTCTAAAAAATTAAAACAATTGTTCAGGATAATTTACTAAAATTATCATTATTATTAATTTTATTTATTATAGTGTAATACTTTATTTTTCATAAAATATTAATTGAAGATTATCTCAATAATCTGTAAATTTAACAACTATAAAAACAGTAAATCAACAATGATTGATTTTACTTTGTTATTAGTACTTACAAATTACTTTTACAGCATCTTAAATATCTGGAAAATTTAATATTATTAAGTTGAATTTAAAATGTTTAAATACGTTAAAATTGATAACACAAAATTATTTATAAATAGGTTTTTTTTATCAAAAGAATATATACGATCTATGCAAAGAGGCATAATCACAGATTTATTTAACCTGTGGCATTATAAGCTAAATAAACAACAATGACATAAACGAGGAAAGAGGCTATTTATTCTTGTAAGTAATTTTTATTAAAATGTTTTGTTGTTTAAAATATTTATAAGATAAATAGGTAGGTATACTAACAATATTACGCAAGATATTTCTTGTTTAAACAACAAATATAAATAATTTATACCATTCAAAATAAAAAGCATTGGTAGGTGTTAAAGTACAATTGATGAACGTCATTAGACACCTTAGTTATTAACCATGAGTAGGTCAATAACTCGGTAATTTATTGCCCCACTAATTTCAAACTATGTTCTAATATTATTTTAGGTGGTTTAAGAGTGGTGGAGTTTTATCTAGCATGCCATTGAAATAAATAAAAACAATATATTATTTATTTGTCTAATAAGAAAAAAAAACAAATATAAAATTAAAGGAGCACACAACACAAATAAAAAAATTCTTTACATTTTTTTTAAATGTTAAATTATTGTATTTATGGTTATATGAAAAGATTTTGTGAAGATACGATGGAAAAAAAAAATTTTACTTTAAGAGATATTAAGAGATGTAGAATAGCCGCGTGACGTCACTGGGCCGGAACCATCGTAATGTGACCAGTGACGTCACACGTCTTTTTTCAATTGCTCATAACTACGATTTTAAGATATATTACGATTATCTTTAATCATGCTCATCACTAATGTGAGTAGAATTGTAAAACCTATACCATTATCCTTAGAATTGAACATTCTTTCAAATAAAAAAAACTTATTTTTTGTGTTTTGTGCTCCTTTAAAAGTATTAATTACATTTTGTATTCTTTTATTGTTGCGTAAATTAAAACTTTAATTAAAAAAATAAATATTAAGGAAAAATAGATGATGTTTAATCAAGGATAATTTTTACCCAGAGCACCAGAATAGTTACTATTAGCCTACTGATAGTTAAAAACAGGATTCTTAAGCAAAAAACTACTATAGAATATGTACATATTTAAGCATCAACAATTTCAAAAATATTCAAGAAAATAGCATACAAATAAAATGTTTTAATTTAATATTTATTCAATAATTGATATGGTATTAAAAGCAAATTATAACATTTATAATGTATACAACTTTCAGAAAACTACACATTATATCTGGCCTATCGTTCAATTAAGATGATCAAAATAGTCTGTGATAATCAAAACACGAGTTTAGTATTTACATACAAGCCTGGGTCTTAATAACTATGTAAAACTGTGTTTCATCTTATTTAATTGATATAGTCTATATCATTCTAAGCTATAGATCATTTGTACTTATTTGAATAAAATTGCTTGCTACCAAATTATTTCAATAAAACTAAATTCTGTCTACTAAACACAAACAATGCCATTATTATTCAATTAATAGAAAATAAAATATTAGCAAAAAAGCAATTAGTTTAGTTAAAAATTGTCTTAAAAAAATAATGATAATTGATTATGTATTATATTATAATATAAATCACGAATTGGATACTGAAGAGATTAATTAATAGAAAAACCACATCAAAATAAAACTAAATAATATACAACATATTATATATTTGTAATTCAAGAAAATTGAATAGAAATCAACATAATTTAAATAAAATCCTAACATTAAAAGTTATTCACCAATCATCATGCTAAGAAAAAAAACCATATGACATATCCATGCAAAAAGCACACAGAGTAAACTTTGCCTATAAACATATAAAGAATTAAGTTATAAATATAAAAACTATAGTATTATCATTATTTTTATATATTTTGCTGGACTGTATTTGATTTACTTATTTATCATTGACTTTTTTTAGTTTTATTATCTAAGAGAGATGGGTTCTTGAATTTCCCATCTCATCAAATTCTCAAACACCCCAGACATTGAGAAAGTATATTGGAAATTAGTACTCAAAATCAATTACTTTTAACTTGAACATTCCGATATTGATACTATTCTAAATATAAAGTTCTATTTAAACTGAGTACCAAGAATGTCAATAGTTAATATTATAACTTCCTATCAGTCTCATCAGGTTTATTTGTGTTCAAAATTTAAGTGGGTAAATTAATTCAATTTAAAGTTAAGTTACCCTGAAGTTCAAAAGTTTGAGTAAATTATGGATTAGAGTTCAAGAAAAAACAAAGGTAAAATTCAAATTTTTGATAATTTATTGCAGTTTTGCCCATTCTTATACGCAACCATACAAAATTATAACTTTCAGAAAGAGTTTTAGTTAGTATAAAGATGATATTATAGTTGTTAATTTTTATGAATTTGTCATAAATCATATGAACTTGAATATTAGATTATACTACGAGTGTCATATCTTTTAAATTTATATTTTTATAAAGTTTTTGATATTAGCCATTAATGGGGTAACCTAATATAATAGCCTGTATATTTTGTATTAAGCATATTGTTGTTTTACATGTTAATAATTAATTTAATCACTAAACCCATCATTAGGCATAAATAAATAAACATTATTTCTAAGAGACTGCAAAAAAAATTATGTTTGATAAAAATACAATTTATTATTACTTTTTAAGTATTTACAATTAGTAATTTTTATTAACTTAAAAAGAAAATTCTAAAAACTAATAGCAGTTTTTTTATTAGTTATCTGACTTTTGAATATGATGATAATATACTTACTACTTTCTTTAAAAAATAAGGATACGATAATCTAATGTAAACTCATTATTACATTAAATCAGTATATTTTGTATACTGTAAGTTGTTACTCATTTCCTAAAATTGTAAAAAGCGAAATCAGTATGAGATCTTTAAAACAATAATTATTAATATTATATATTTTGATTTGATACAAAATTGGAAGTCAGGTTAAAAAAAATTATAAATATTGTACAGTTTTTCGATTTTTACACTATTTTTATTATTTTTTTTTTTTAACGAAAGACAGGAATAAACTTAAGAATTTGCATAGTGAAAAACTTATTTGATAAGTATAGTAATGTGTTTATACAACACACAAAATATAGATTAAAATATTATGCATAATTATGTTTAAATAATTAACACTGTTATTATAAGTTGAAAAAAAATGTTCATTACAAGTAACTATACTCAATAAATTATTACACACTATATTTCCTAAATTAGTTGACATATGCAGAACGATCAAACACAAACATAAATCATTAAGAGGGTAATTGGACTACATTATGAAATTTTTCATTAAAACTCAATTAGCTAAATAATGATCCATTGTTCCTAATTCTAAATAAGATATAAAACAGTATCATTAATTCTCATATCAATCAAAAAAAAAAAATAATAAATTGTTAATACTATCTATACTCTAATGTAATTTGTGGATGTTGTCTAAACCTATCTCTTTATTATTTAAGCCTAACTTACTACATAATTTTTAATTTGGAAAATTTGCTTACAGTTCTGAATAATACTGACTTTAATCTTTACTACTTTATAAGAATAATTATCACTCACACTAAAATGTTGAAATCAAGACACATATGAGATAGAAAAAAAATTACACACAAATCTTTAAGCCTAAGATTCCTTTCTTTTTTTGTCAATATAAACTGAGGAATAGTTTTTATAAAAGATTCCTGATGACCTGCACAAGTTTAAATTTCTGCGGGTTGGAATTCTCCTGACCCAAACCCCTTATGTAACATTTTGGGTCAGCTCATACTTTTTTTAACCTGTGCACAAATAAAACAAATATTCTACTTTAAACCTGATTAATAAATAAATATTTATAGAACTAGTCACGACTTAGAGCCAATCATACAACATTTCAATAGAATTAATTAATTGACAAATTTTAGATTGTAAAAAATACAAATTTAAATATGTATGTACATATAGATAATAGATAAATACAATTAATTAAATAATATGTTATCACAAATATAAATAGGTTGAACTAAAAATTTAAAGCAATAACTAAAATTTGTAATAAATAACAAATAACTATTAGGAATAGTAGTAAGTAAAAATTATCAATTGCATATTCGGGTATTATAATTTAGATTTTAGGTAGTTCCAAATAATAAAAAATCAATACATCTAAATACATTTGTAGATGCTTATAAATATAAACGATTTAAGAGTCTACACTTTTCATTTTTGTTACAGATATATATGTTCAACTAAAATAAATGTCAACGAATCTACTTTTAAGAAGTACCTTTTTTTATAGAACATTGGCAATTTAAGTATTTATTGTAATTAGTGGTTTTATAAATTCTATGTAATAATGGCTCTAAGCGTAAAATCAAAATGTGTATATTTAAGTTTTAAGATACAATTTTTTGATGTTAATAACTGATAAAGGTTTAAAAAAAATGTTGATGTACCTTATGTAGTTAGTATCTTCCTCTTCCACCTCGTCCAAAAGCACCCCTTCCACCACGACTTGGGTTTCCAGGACCTCTTCCAGATATTCCTCTTACAGGGCCACCTCCTCTTCCACGAACACCTCCTCTTCCTCTTCCACCAAAACCACTTCCTTCCCCACTAGCAAAATTACTGCCACTAAATCCACTACTAAAATCATTATAACCGCTGTCAAAACCACCTAAGAAATAACATAAAATAAAATTAATATAATAGTATTGTTAAATAGTAATTACAATTTTGTATTACTATTGTAAGGTCCCGGTCTTGCTGCTCCACCACCTCGCAAAGGGCCATTACTTCCTCTTATGGGTCCAGCACCAAAACTTTGTTGATAGCCATCACTGAAACTATTATCCCAAGCACTAGTTGATGGACCTCCCCAATTACTTCCTCGAGAACTAGGGCCTGACTCCCATGGATCAGGGTCATTACCACCTGAAATTTATACAATTTAAATGAAATAAATATGTATGTATTGTTGACACAAGTAATATATTATAAATAAATTTAACGATTTTTACTTCTCCATCCTCCACCTCTTCCAAAATTTCTCATTGTTGGTTCCCAGGCACTTCGATTATCATTGCCCCAATTATCTCCAGAATTACTGTTATTTCTAGCATTTACTCTAGCCATTTCTTCTTTACTCAATGCTTTTTTGACATCAATTTTTTTCCCTTTTATTATATGCGATCCTTTTACTGTTAAACAAAATATGCTCAAATTAAAAAATATTTTAGTAAAAAACACACATATATACATAGGTACTTGTAACTTACAACATATTTTATCAACTGGATCATAATCATCAAATTCAACAAAACCAAATCCTCTTTTTTTCCCTGTCTCTTTATGAACAACTAGGGCAGCAGAAGTAACATTACCATACGGAGAAAAATATTCTTTTAAGTCTTCTTCTGTTATGCTGTCATTTAACAGACCTACAAACAATTTTTTAACTGTTGCCCCTGCTTCAGGTTTTCCAATATCCTATTAAAATATATATTCATAATAAACAATAAATAATTATTTTAATCTCAATTAATTAATATTGTATTACAGTTTTTGGTACAGCACGCTTAGGTTCGACTGTCCGACCATCTATCTTATGAGGACGGGCACCTTGTGCATCATCAACCATATGAGCTGCAGCATAAGTTATAAAGCCAAATCCTCTTGATCGTTTAGTCTGCGGATCTTTCATAACAACAACATCCATAATTTCACCCCATTGTTCGAAATATTTTTTGAGATTTTCATCTGTAGTTTTATAGTCTAATCCACCGACAAATAATTTACGTAAATGTTCAGGCTCCCTCTAAAACAAAAAAGTAAATAGAATACATTAAATTTGTATTTGAAGAATAAAAAATTATTTTCAAACATTGATTGATGATTAACTATCAAAAGGTTATACAAAAAAATGACAGTATTAAACATTTTAAACAATGTATAATAAATATGGTGACATATAAGATATAACATTGTAAAATAATCTTTGTTTCCAAAAATGTATATAATTCACAGTTTAGTAATTTTGTTTTAAACAATACTTCCTGCTAATTGTAGGATTGTAAATAAAACATAGCGCTGGAAAATACTTGAAATACTTAAAATATGCAAACTATTTTAATGATACAACTCTATGGTCAAAACTCAAAAGTATTGCTAACAATGCTTAAATGTATTGTTGTTGTGTAATAACTAATAAATAAGTAACAGAAGTTATGACATGAACGTTAATAATAGTTATTAGGAAGCAAATTTAGGAAAAATATATATTCTAGAACAGAAAGAAAAATGTGCAGGACGTGTTCTAATTCATAACACAATATAATTAAAGCTTTAAATCAGGTCAATTAGTTGTTTGCATAGCTATTTTATTGTGTATTAACTTGGCAGAGAATTTGGGTCAGAGAAAAATAATATTTGGTCTAAACTCATTTCTTTCATCAATCATATTAGTATGATAACAGAAATCAGATAAAAATAAATCTTTTAATATAAAATTACAATCATAGTAAATTAATAAATTTTGAATTATTGTTTTGTTATGATACCTACATTTATATAATCAACTACTTGATTAGTAGAAAAGTGTGGCAATATTGAATTTTAAAAAAGTAAAATCAAATAGTTATATAAATACTATTTTATGACACTGTAATTTCGTTTAACTACATAATTATTGCATGTTGATTAGGTATTAGATAAATTTAAAAAAAAATTTGTTCAATTAAAAATATTTTAATTTAATTGTAGGTAATAGGAAGTAAAATAGGTATCTAAATTTATTAGAATGCAAATTACAAATTGCCTAAATTTTGAGTAAGAAACTATCACCAAAATAAATTGTCATAATTCATTATTTATGGTAAAATGTTTGTCAACAGCAACAGTATTCAGCATTCATTAAAAATATTACAATACAAACGGAGCAAATCAAGTTTTTGAAATTGATTTAGGTACACTAAAAAGTTACATATTCTTGTGAAATATAGTTTTAGCTTAAATTTTAGTTAATTATTTAAGCAGATATGCAATAGGTTTTATTCCTTCTGATGAATTGTAGTTGTAATCCATATAAAATGTTAAAAAAATAATATTCATAAAACTATCAATTTATAATATGTTCACACTTCAAATCAGAGAACAAAATATAGGAAAAACTGTGTGTACGGTAAAACAATATTAAACACTATGTCATGCATTAAGCAATTAAAAATGTTAAGCAATTAATTAATTTAAATGTGTATAGTATTACCATGATTACGAGTCGTACAAATTATCTTAAGTAGATGCAAACAGAGATCGTTTTGTTTAATGTTTTGGTAGTAAACGTCAAATAAAATAATAAATTAGATATGATTAGTGTCAAAATTAAAATAATAATCAACAATAACAAAACAATAAAAAGATAGATATGTTTAAAGTTCTAAAAAGTTGAAGACGAGAAGAATTCTACTCCTACAATACACAGGATTAATTTGTTTATAATTATTAAAGAAATCACAGAAGCGTCAGGAGAGAATGAACTATGAAACTTTGAAACGTAAACACTAAACACTGAACTCAATAAATAAATAAAATAAACACAGAGTTGGCAAGTTATCCATTATCCAACGCCTTATGCCACCAATACGGTCTGGTGGCAGCACTGAGTGTGTGGCAGTGGTAGTAACGATCATTGCAGTTGCGATTGGAACAATAAAAGTTTGTAGAAAGCGCGCTTCTTTCGATTAAGCACGATATAATCTATAAATTATATCTTTCTAAAAAATATATTTATTCTGGTATCGTCAAATAAATTATTCATCTTATCATTTACTATAAAATAAAATAAGTGTATTACATAATCAAAAGTTCGAGAGTTTAATCAAGTTTCCATTTTTTGTCAGCTTTTGTCGTTTTCGGAACGTTTAGAAAGTTTTGCGTTAAAAATATCAAATCTGTTATTACTAACTATTTTATCAACAGCTACGTCAACATTTTAAAGTGACAATGTCACATTACACAAAACTAATAATTAATAGTATTTTTTAACTTTTCAACTTTTGTATGGAGAACTTTTTTACAACGTTCAACGTGAACCGTGGTCATCAGAGGTTTCCATCATAGCTAAGGTGTGTAGAACTGTAGTCTGTACTTTGTTTCACTAACGAACATGTTTGACCAAAATCGGTTTTTCTGACCATTCTCAAGTGACACCTTGCCTGCTAGCCGCCGTGGAAAACAGATTTCAATAGCAGGATGACGCGAAGGATGAACAGAAATGGCATATTCTGAAAAATAGAAGAATGGAATAGAGTGAAATAGAGTACCTTTAGACTTAATATTTTTCTTATGTAGTGTAATGTCAAAACTAGACTAATTAATATTTTAACTAAATCAGTTGATATGTCTATTATAGTTATTATTTAGTAGTATTATTTATAGTTATTATTTATAGCTATTCAAAAAACTTTTCTGACTCGTGGTGCCTTTTGGTAAATAGTAAAGTTTTCTTATAGCCCCCTTGATGAAACAGAAAAACTATGGCCTTTTGAGGTAAATGCCAGAATATCGGTGACCTATAATATTACCATAAGCAACGTCCATCGTAAACGTATACATATTTTGTACGATACCTTTAGATTTTTAGATACCTTCAATCTTTAGACTATTTGAAATATGTATTTTGAATGTATAGCGTCATGATTGCGACTTCTGTCCCCGCCATCCACCACGGAAAGCGCTGACCCGCTTCTTGTACAAATGTGAAAATTTAAACAGTCAAATGCGCGAATTGTTTAATTTCATTTTCACTAGAACTATCGAGGAATAAGAATGAAAAATGTCTAATCTAAAATAATTTGCAAATTGTAGTGATTTTTACCCATTTTTCAAAATTTGAATTTTAGACGCTCATAAATGATGGTACTCGTCCAATTTTCGCTATCTACCGTAATTGTATGATTGTTTAGTATGTCCGTATGACCGTATGCTGCAGTATATTATTTATACTTTATCATTTTGCAATTATATATGATTATGCTTTTATCGAAACTCCAAATTATACTATATGTACACCTTTAAATTATACCTGTTTAGTGTGTGTTTGTGAGTCGTGTCGATTATGTGTGGTTTTACTGTGTTTTATTTATTATTAGTTATTAGGCAATTATTATTATGAGTTTGTCTACTATATGAGTTATTTATATCGACACATGATTCAAAATGAAGAGATGTGCGAAATTTTTTTAAACATACTCGGTTTATTACCAATCTATCAAACATGTACAAAAATTAAAAACCAAACAATTTGTGGCGATGAGTTAAAAAAAGTTCTGAAAAATAGTCGAAAACGTGATTCGGAAGGTAATATTTTGAAAACAACTTATAATCGATGTACAAAAAAAGTGTGCCAAACATTTTACTCCATACGTAAAAACAATAACTTTTTTACGTATATATAGATAAAAATGGGAAGTGTACCCAACAGTGGCTTAAATTAGTGCGATATCGCGGAACTTGTAACGTATTGGGTACTTATCATACTTGACCAACATAAAATTACGGTAGATATTAGCATACTAAACTAATATAAACTTATTCGACGAGTATCAAAATTATTGTGGACTTACGCTCAACTTTTTTTTAATTTCCACTAACGACAACTTACGAGGAACCTTGTATTACATTTACAAGCTTTTTGACTGAACGAACATTTTTTTATTGATATTATAGTTTAGAAAAAACAAATAATAATCGACAATTTCATGCGATGCCTATAAATAGTTCGAGTTAAAATATTTTGAAAATTGTATGGTGTATAGAAAATGGAATCTAGGACATTTGACACCCAATAATAGGACTATTGACACCCACTGATAGGACAATTGACACCGAATATAAAATTTATAAATACTGAATAATCAGTGTATAATCGTATAATATAATAATATAATTGAAAAGTTTATTCTAATAAAATGAAAAGATAAACGATTTTGTATTAATTTTAAGATAATATTAAAAATTTAATGTTTAATTACGTAGGATACGTTTTTTAAAAAACTAATAATTTCACTATTTGTTTTGAATTGAGAAGTTTTACATATGTTTTTAAGCCGTTCTTCATTTGATTAAATTTTACAATTTATTTGAATTCCTGTATTTAGTTTTAAAATCTCTATTGAGCTAATGGAGTTCATCATTTGTAAAGTTTAAATAAATGTATATATATGTGGATGTTTAAATCTAATTAAATGTTGGAACTTATTGTTCCAACCTTCTGACACATTATTAGTCCTACTATAACCTAATTTTGTGGCATTGTGGATATTCCACATATATGGAGCAAACATTGATGGTCTCTTTTTGAAGCACATAACTTGCGTATTGTTAATTAATTTGTACGGCCCATTAACATATGTTACATCGAAGTATGTTAAAATATCATCATCATCATATGAAAAAATGTCATATAATAAGCTCATACCTATAAAAAATATATATAAATTAAAAAAAAATATATGTATATATTATGTACGTGTATGAGTATGGTACCTTTTTCAATAATATTAAGTGGTAAAAAGGCCAATGCATTGATCATTCGTACTGAACAACGGAATTCTTTGTCTTTTTTATATTTTGTTGCCAAACCAAGATTTTGGACTTTACGCCACACACTTTGACTTAGATGTTAATAGCACAAATGTATGGAAACGCTGTCTTCAAAAACTTCTTCAATCGCTTTTATCATAGCAATTTCAGAATCAATAGAAAATGACTTCACTGATGAACACGTGTCTTTGAGAGTCATCAAAAGTTCTACATAAACTGTGTGTGTTTTTTTTTGGTAATAACGCATAAACGACAGATAAAGGTTTCATTTTATAAATTACGTGTAGTACATAAAGTTGATAAAATCCTTTAGGGCATGACGAAAATGTTCCGTCCATGAACACGTGATCACTTTGTGATAATATTTCTAGGCAGGCCCGGATTAACTCTACCGTAGGCCCTAGTAGACCCATGTTAAAATACGGTCCTGTAGTGTTCAGTATTTAAATGATTAAAAAACACAATGTTTGGGAGAGGTAGTGTTGAATCTCAGTGTTTTAAGCCTTCAAAAACAAAAATATTTACAACATGAAAATCAAATATCAACTTTTATAATTATAACTTTATCTGATGACAATTTTAACACATCTTAAAATACATTTTATTTTACTCAAAACATATTATTTAAAATTAAATTACCAGAAACCATAAAAAACAACTTATTTTATACCATCTTGCATTTTCTTCCTTGCCGACCGATCATGTCTCGCATGATCGCATGTAATTCTTATTCTTATTATTATTACACAATATATTGAATATTGATGAATGATGCGTGTGTGTGTGTGTGTCCGCGGTCGATAATTATTATTTATATTACATGAACTATATTATTTTTATATTATTTCCCTAAAATACTCTAAACCGTAATCGTGGTTTCATTCATCATACACAGTAGTTTACCTGTATACCGTATGCATTTTATCGGTTATTGGTTTTATCCAATCTGATTTCAATAAGTAATTATTACGAATTACGATAACGAACATTGAGTGTAAATATATGAGAAATGTCAAACACAATATTTTGTTTGTTGTGCCAACATCTACAGATAGTTAATTGACTTAAAATAAAAAAAAAATGATTACAGAAAAATCGTAGCCATGCATTTCATTTTCGTAGGCCCTAAAATGTTCGTAGGCCCTAGGCACAGTGCCTATAGTGTCTATGCCCTAATACGGCCCTGTTTCTAGGCAGTCTTGAGAAGCAAATATAATTATACGACTATTAATTGATCGATTATCATAAAATAAAAACTTTTGCTGATTAGGTTCTGCTGTCATCGTCCACTTACCCTCTAATACGAATTCTTTGGAAGTAATTGTAGGATATGAATTGTTACGGATTCTCCTTAAATTTCTTTTTACGTTATTTTCATTTGGCATCAAACAAGCAGCTACGTCTGTTAGTTTGGTAACTTCTTTTGCGTACACTTTAGAAGGAATATCAAAATTGTTTATATTTTCTTTCATCGCATTTAAGGCACGACATACTTCAGCTTCAGTGGAATCAGGATTATGAGAATGTTTTTGAAATTTTAAAATTTTGCTTTTGGACGAATTTATCGTTACACTACCTTTACAATAATGTTTCTTTCGTTGAACACAATAGTATATCTGAGCCCACCACCAACTTCTTTTTGGAACACATAAATATAATCATTAATTATCATTTTTGTTTTAATTATTTCAATTATATCGGAACATTCTGAGTCCATATTGAATGAATATTATGATAATAATTACTTTTAAATAAAACTGAGTACACACTACATTACAACAGACACTAACTAGTAACTAATAACTATTGCCTAATGCCTATAGTCTATAGGTACTTACCTACTCACGATTATCGTCATTGTAATCGTAATCATAATCGTAATCGCTCGGTGTCAATTGTAATTGTCCGTGTTCTATAAATATCGGGTGCAAAAAGTCCGATATCGGCAAAACCGTCGGGTGTCAATTGTCCGAATACCTAGAAAATGCTAACAAAAACATCAGTGAAAATTGCATGTATCTATGGTCTCTCTTTTTTAGAGGTTCTCTAAAAACCAAAATCGATTTTTTCGAAAACTGGTTTTGATGAGTAAAAATTCAGGTTTTCTTTAATCTTTTGTTGATTTTTCCTGACGCTTTTGAAAACTATTGGGAATTTTAAATTTCGACCTCCTGAATGCATCAACTAGATTCACTTTTCTACCTGAAAAGTTGGTGTTAAGAAAATCGAAGCACTTTTACTGCCCCAAATCGTGATGACAGACACGAAAATAAAAAATAAATAAAAAATGGATGTCGCTTTTTTGTACATCAGGTTAGATTCTTAGAAGGTGGCTGCAAATCTGTAATGATTGGTATTAAATTTGAATTCAATGATATATTATAATATACAAAAAACGATTCTAAGAAGAGACAGTATGTAAGTATATTTTATATTGTTATTACTTATTATTTATACGTTAGCCACTAGCCGGTAAGTTTAATTAATATTATTCTTAAACTATCGATTATCAGTGATGGTAAAAAAATATTGAATATACTTATGTACAATTTAGCAGTTTTGGAACCAAATTACAACAAAATGACAAACGTTTTTATTCTGTGTAATAAAAAAAAAAAATTAATATTTAATTTTGTCCAAATTTGAACTTAAAATGTATGTACAAATAACTGTATGTATCTTTTAGATTTTTTAGTTAAGGAAAAAACTGCTTAAGTGGAACCTTGCGTTAATTTTTCAATTCTTGGCTATAAAAATTGGAAATTTTTTGAATTTTTAACTACAAAATCATCTTCAATTTTCAATTTGATAAATATTCTAAAAATTTGAACTTTAAATCCTTATAAAAAAAGTCAATTTATCACCTTATCACAAATTGGGCCATTGGCATAAACACAGAATAAACACTGATAAAGGTAAGAATATACTTATCTATCTCAGTGAATATAAACAACGAATTAAGATATTTGTGATATAAACGAATCACTGCAGGCACAGTTGTAATTTGTTCATCATTTTTCATACACAATACACAGAATAGTAAAAACTTGATTTCTATTTTTGTTCTTAGTTCTCAGTTCTCACTTAGTTTCCAGCCGATGTGTTACAAAGTAATATTGAATTAAATTCCTATACTACTATGGACCTTTTAAAAGCTGAAATAGAAAAAAAAAGAAAACAATTAGAAGATGCTAATTTGCTTGTAAGTAATATTGTACCAGTGTATCTACCAACCATCTATATTTTTGTACTAAAGCTTTGAAAAAAAGTTTGTAATATTTAGATATTTATAATTATGTTTTGTAGAATCCAAATAGAAAATTCTTTAAAAGATCCGATTTAATAAACAAAGAACGAGAAGAATACTTGAAAAAAAGTACTGTAAAAATTGAAGGCCTTGAAAATCCAGTTGAAAAACAATCAACAGGTTAGTTAAATTCTTATGTTTACTTAAATGTGAATGAATATATCTGAAATCATAGGCATGCACAGATTTATTTGGTGGAAGGGGGCTGAGCCAATGATGATTAATATAGGTAATTCAAAGAAATGAAATTTAAGTGTCTATTACATGCTTTGATTTACTCGCTGGTCACCCACTAGTTAAGTCATGAATTAAAAATAAATATTTTTTTGTTATGAATCTAATAAGAAGTATAATAATAGTCAACATAGTTTTGAATCTTCAATACATACATTTTTGCAATCTGTATTCTGTAATGTTAATATATTAATTTGACATTATTAATTACACGCTATTTAAAATGTTATATGAATTTAACAGCTCGTAATTCCATTCTTCAGGTATTTTTCCCGGTTTTTAAAATTATTACATATAGTATTACAGTATCATTGTTCTTGAAAATACAGAAACTTTTCTTTTTTTTGGCTTTACATTTTAGTACCATCTGTAGTGTCATTAATTTCTTTGTTCTTAAATATAATAATAAATAAAAATAAATTGTTGGATAAGTATTTTTTGAACATTATTTTAATACTTCTTTATTAAACTTCATAATTAAGATTTTAAGAATAATTTGTATAAGTTAGTAAAAAACTAAAGATAATATTTATTATTTATGTGTAACTTACTTTAATTTCAATAGTTTTAGTAAATACGAAATAGAGACTTCTGCTGAAGATATCTTCATTTTTAAATTTCTTTTTCAGAACAATAAATGTTCAAACAACAAAGAAAATTATTAAAATATAAAAAGTCATAGTTATTAGGTACCTAAATATTCATTATTGAGGTGTACAGGTTAAATTTAGACAAACATTAATCATGACATACTTGAGTGTATAGGTTGATAAATATACAATATAATATTTTAACTTAGTCTTTACAACTTTATCTTTTATCTTTTATCATACTTGCTCAAACACTGTTTAAGGAACTCATCCTAACACTGCTTTTAATAGGTGGGTAAAAAGCAATTCACCTAAACTCACAAAGCATCACTACGCTCAATGTTTATAAATTGATTGGAACCAGTCAATTAAAAATATTCAAGGGCCCCCAGCAAATGCCAGGCTGCTGGGTAGGCCAGACTGACACTGATTATTCCTAATAATATTGTGCACAAATCATTAATAAGGGATCCACACTCAAATTTTTGTCCTAATACTCAACCTTTGCTCTTAATTACCGAACAATACGCGACCTACATCATAAATGTTAAATACAAATTAATTAATAAGTCTGGCAATCTTGTTTTGTACATTTGATGTTACAACCTTTTTCATGGTGCCATCACAGTTTTGTTTTTTACTACTTAGACATTCTACAAGTTTGCTATTATATAAAATACCGTTCTTCACCTTTATGTTTGTCATCGTATTATCGGCCAATATTAACCCTTATTATTCTTAATATTGAACACATGTTTCTTCATCTCTCATAATATGACTTAATAAGTGATCAATAGTCAATATTGCGTTGATCAATATAATTTTATCAGTAGGTCGACTGAAATTTGTAGATCACATTTTCAACTGTTACCATACAATTTTGTTAATCACTTATAATATTATAGTTAATACTTTCCTTAAGACATATTCTTTTGTATGTAATTATTATTATAAAATAATTTGTTGCATCATAGTTTTGTGTTATATGTTTATTATTTATTAGAATCTATTTAAAAATTTGAGGATGAAATTGTCTAAAATAAGTTGTCTTGGTATAAATTTGTTTTTCAAAAATAATTATCAGAACATCATTATTATTAAAAAAATTCTGTAGTACTGCATTAATGGATTTAAAATTAAATTTCTGGTTTCAATAAAATAAAAAAGTGAAATGCCTACATTAACATAACCTATTATCACTCTGTTTATACCTCGTCATTTAGTCTAAATGTTTATGTTTAATTTTGAATTCAATGATATATCATTGTATATGAAAACAATTCTAAGCAAAGACATCCTAAATTACTATAAGTATATTTTTATGGCTATTGTAATAATTTATTTTACTATTAGTAATTTATGTAGGTTGAATAAGTTTTTGCCCTAAACATTGCGATTATTATATTATTAATATTGAATTATTGAAATAGTTTAATACATGTTTAATACTTATATCATATATTATTATTGTTATTAACTTTTGAGCAATCACAAACTTATCATAGAATGGTGTGAATTGTGAATAGGTACTTCATTAATTTTGTCTAAATTTGAAATCAAAATGTCTAAAATACATTGCCATATTTTTAAGATATTTGAATTTGAATTTTTTGTTTTAGACTCACTATGAACTACTTATGAGGAACTTAGTATTAAGTTTTTAAAACTTAACCATAAAAATTGAACATTGGACACATTTTCAACTATATAATAATGTGCAAAATTTTAACTTCAAATGCTTATAAAAAAAACTTAACAATTGTTTAACAAATTTAGGTAGCGGTGATGAAAGTAGTAGTTCTACATCTGAGAAACATACTTTGTCAAGGAAAGAAGTAATTCGTAGGTTGAGAGATCGTGGTGAACCTATTACACTGTTTGGAGAATCAGAACTTGATTCTTTTAAAAGACTGCGTCGAAGTGAACTTGCTGAACCAGAGTCAAATAAGGTATTTCTTCAATTTCTGATTATTTCTGAATTTTAACACAAAATATGTTGTGCTTAGGGTTTCAGAAATGATTTTCAAGAAGCATTAGAAAAAGTCGATCAAGACTATTTAGATAAGTTGATGACAAATAAGGCTCCTGAAAAAACATACACAGAGTTGGAAAGCATGGAAGAAGCAATGGCAACTTATGAAACCATTCAGTCTAAAGCTGGTATTTTAGGAAGAAGGCGTGATCGATCCCAAGATATGGAAATTATTCTACAGCTTTTACAATTGTTATTGAAAATGTGGGAGGTTCAACTTAACGCTAGATCTGTTAAAGAAAAAGCTAGTACAAAAGGAAAGTTAGCTTTAGCTACTTACAATCAAACCCAAATTTACTTGAAACCATTATTACGAAAACTAAAAAACAGCAGTTTACCTGATGACATTTTAGATAGTCTTACACTTATTACAAAACACATGTTGGAGAAAGATTATTTAAGAGCTAGTGATGCATACTTGGAAATGGCTATTGGTAACGCTCCCTGGCCTATTGGAGTTACTATGGTTGGTATTCATGCTCGTACGGGTCGAGAAAAGATTTTCTCAAAAAATGTAGCACATGTACTAAATGATGAAACACAAAGGAAATACATTCAGGCCTTGAAACGTTTAATGACTAAATGTCAACAATTTTTCCCAACTGACCCATCTAGATGTGTTGAATATGCTCCAGATACATAAAATATTATTACTATTAAAACATAGAAATATTATTCATACTGTATCATATTATTAAGACTTTAGATGATGTATAAACTGTTAAGTAAAAAAACAATTTAATTTTAACTATTACAATTACTTTATTAATTGTAGAAAATTATATATTATTTTTTTTCTCCCATTTCCTTTGATCTATTGGTAGCTGCTTCAACTGCATCGATCATGGCAGATCTATATGGAACATTAAAAATAATAATTGTTCATTTTCAACAAATAATCAGCTGGATTTCAAAATAATATTATATTTAAATATAATTAAGAAAAATTAAAAAAAATTATTATATTTACCTAACTCCTCCCTTTTCTAACGCATGTAAGGCTGCAATCGTTGATCCCCCTGCAGATGTTACCATATCCTTTAGTTGGCCAGTATGTTTTCCTGTTTCTAAAACCATACGACTTCCTCCAGCCATAGCACTAGCTGCTAAACGTACTGCTATGTCACGTGGAATGCCTTGTTTTACACCACCATCAGCCAATGCTTCAATTATAAGAAATGCCTAAACAATTAAATTTAATCTGCATAATTTATTGATAAACAATAATTAATCATATATTTTAATTTGCAATGCTTACATAAGCAGGACCTGAACCGGAAATTGCTCCAGCTGCATTCATTAATGATTCTGGTATAACTTCTACATCACCTACAGCACTCATTAACAATTTAACTTTTGGCAAAGTTATGGCAATTTCCTCCAAACTAGCATCTAGATGAGAAATTACTAAAATAAAATAAAAATAATTGATTAATTACTAACTATGATATTGTAAATCAATCAATTTAATGTTTAATTATACTAATTTGTGCTTCAAACTTAGTTTAATTTTATTGTGACATTGATCTAACCTTCAAGTTGCAATGGTGGCTTACTAAATTTAAAATGACAGTTCAAATAACTTTAATGACACTAAATTATTTTTCTATACATAGCAATACTATTTTCAATTACAAAAAAAATGATTTTTTATCAGTACTCAATTTTCTCAAATAAAAAATTCAAAATCCACTCCAATTAAATCCCTACTTGGAAGTATGGGACTGACATGTGGAGGATGGGTGTCACATAGCTTAAATACCCATAAACCATCTGTAAATAATATGAACATAATGAAGATAAAAACACTACAGTTTCGATACGCCAATATGGGGGTCTATGTGTGTTCTATAAAAATTTGATATTCATCATAAGTAGTAATTTGTTCGTAGTTTGACATTACAACCTGAAGTACATGTTCTGAGCCAATGTTTCAAAACAATGTACTAGCATTGGCTACTACAAACAATAGAACAAGTATTCAACATGGCTTAAATATGCTGCAAACCTCTCAATTTGTAAAATATTGATTTAAACAAACCTGAAAATCCTTCTCCGATTAAACTAGGTGTATTTGGCATAACTTTGAATAAAACGCTAGGTTGTACATTGAATGCCTGAAAAAAAATTGATTACACTAATGGTTGACAAAATTAAAATAAGTTGGTACATATTTTATTTATCAGATTAGAGTTCATCAATGAAATGCAAAATCAATCAAATGAACAGCTTATTTTAATGTATTTATTTAATAAAAACATAAAAATCTATTAATGTTTATAAAAAATCAACTTTTTAAAATATAAATAACATTCGATAAGATACTTTAGACTGAAGTACTTAATAGTTTTATTAATTCAAATTTTAATTTCAATTCCTTACCTTTTGTAATATATTTAATGGTATTCCAACCATAATCGATATTAAAATATTTAAGGAACCAAAAGTTGTTGTAAATAATTCAGATACGACCTTAGGGAAATATTGGGGTTTCGTTGCTAAAAATACAATTTTAGTATTACAAAAAACAGCATCTGAAAAATAAATGGATAAAGACCCAAATTTCAATTAATGTCATCTAAACATTATACATTAAGTATTTAGTGCTGTTGCTATAAACCTACTATTATCAGTTGTTACAGCTGCACCAATATCTCTCCATACTTTTTTATTATTTTCTGAAGGTGATGATACAATTAAGTTTTCTGCTTTACATATACCTTAAAAAAAATTAATTAAAAGAAGTCAATACATTATTTTTATTTTTAATATATGACACGGTGAGTAAAACAAATAGGCAATTTTTCTATGTAAATATACCAGCTTATTTTGATCCAGTGAAAAATAAAATGTACCAATAGGTATAGATAGTATACATCACAAACAAAACAAAATCATAAAAAAAGAAATATACCTATACAAAAATTGAATAGTTAGGCAACAAAATGAAACACCAATTGGTGATGTATTTCATAATTATTTATTTGTACCTAGTTAATAATTTTCATTCAAACAAATATTTTACTAATTACTAACTAAAAATATTCAGTAAATTTACCTTTCTTGATAAAAGCAAGTCCAATGGCTTGAGCCATATTTCCAGATCCTATGAAACCGATTTCATATATTTTATGAGGATCATAGTTGGACTTGGACATTTTTTGAGAAAAAATATTTGAAGGTTTTAAAAAATTTAAGATATTACTACCAGTACAAACTAGTCTATACTTGAAAGTATAAAATGTATAATGATATTGTATAAGGTGCTCTACTGAGAACTGAGCGACTACTGAGTACTGACTAGGACAGGTTACAAATCAGTGAACAACGAATAATGATCACGAATTAAGATATAAAATTAAATTATATTACATTATGATAAAAAATGTTCAGTGTAAATTTAAAACCAATGGATTTCTAAATATAATAGTAGGAGTTGACATCGGACCGTCAGAGGAATGAGGATTAGGGGATTAGTGAAATAATAGGTCTGGTAAGGCACAATTGAATGGCGTTTTTATTATGGAAAAAATCCGGATCTAGCACAGTGCTGCGCTCTAGTAGTTTATTATACGAACACTAATGTATTGATTGTATCATAGACCTTATACGGTAAAGTTTTACCGCTAGACGAGAACTGTGTACAACAACAGCTGCATCCTGGCTGCGTAACAACATCAAGCAGTGATGTAGGCTGTCTTTACTAAAAAATAGAATAATCTGTTCATCTATTTATCTAACCCTACCTCCCCAGTCCCCGCATTACCGTGCGTACGAGTAACCGAGTAATCAAAAAGCGCCCTCTATATTGTTAAGGTTTCCATACATTCATTGCTCGCATAGACTAAGTTGTAGTTGAAGGTCTATAATTGCCATTGTACAGAACCGTATAGAAGAATATGGTGCACTCATTGACAGTCGACAGAGCATGCAATATGCTTGACTGGCGGGGTTGGGTGGTGCGGTCACAGCAAATTGCGTTACAGCAGAGTTGCCGTCCATACGATAAATTTCGCACGCATACGGTTATTTCATGATTGTGTACGATATACGATAAGATATGTTTACTATCGAATAAAAAAATACGATTTATACCATTAATTCCAAAAATAGATTTTATACCTTGAAAATTATTTGTCGTCTTATATTAATTAATCTATTGACTGTAATCTTTTTTATTGGTTTGGTTCTTAATTACAATGTTATATACGCTTTTCTGAGTTTCTGTGACTGTCTTTAAATATTACAATTTAGACATTTTTTTTTGTTTAAATTTTTTAAAAAGCAAAAATGGAAGTTGATCCAGATATTCCAGGGTGAGTAGTGCTAGTAGCAGATCAACTCCAAAAAAAAAAATTCGAATGAACAGACGTGATGAGATGGCAGAGTGAAAAAACAAAACATCGCTTACAAAATCACTTGTTTAAAATGTCGTTGATGCCAGTTACATCGAACAAGTATGAAGCATACATGCTACTACCGTGTCCCTTAACTTTTGCATATTGTTATCAAATCCATCGAGTTTCATTTCAGACCATCCATAAAATAGCAGATTGCTGATAAGTCAATCGGCTTGATTACCTCCCTTCCAGCGGCTGACCGATCTGATGAATTTAGGAACACACGGAATATAATAAATAAATATAATTTATAATAGGTATAACCACAGAATAGATAAGATTCATCACCACGGTCTTAAAAGATATGACCGTATAACTTTAATCAAAGAGCAATCGCTTGTTAACAATATTATAGATTTCTATAAAATCCATAGATAATAAATCTATATCTAAACCTTAGATCATATGACGTGTATCTAAATAATATATCTTTATTATTATCTATGATAAAATCAAAGAAAACTAGATAAGGTACTCCATATTATGATAACCGTTGCAAACTATGAAGTCAGCTGCTGCAGCAAGCTGATTAAACGGCCGTCATGTTTTCAGTCGGCAAAAGATTACATTCATTCTGATATTTATATAACTATTATAATAATATACGTATTAATTCTATATATCTGTGCGTTCATTATACAACATGTATAAGGATTAAGGAATAACATTGTTTTTAATGGTAAAATAAAATGATAAATTTAAAATATTTTTTTATTTTTTTCAAACAACAGATTTAGAAATAATAAATTACAATGCAACATAATTAATACTTACCATATAAAATATCATAAGATGCCAATTAATTAACAGGCTTCAACTGATAGCGGGAGTTCGCTATCTAGTATTATATAGAGGTCTGTGTTATTTACATGTATAGATATCCGCTGACATACCTCCTTACCACGAAGCCATAACTAAATAAATGAACCACGATTAAAATAATTATCTAATAATTATCATTCCTTGAACTGAGATCTAGGTTCGAGGTTTGAACATTCAAATTTCAATATTACAATACAGTAAGATTTTGAAAAAGGGTTAAGATAATTCATAGAGTAATGACTAATACTACTAACCAAGGTGGATTCAAATCTAATTTATTTAATCATTCAAATACACCTTAGTCAGGTAGTTGCACTAGAGAGCCTGGAATGCCTGGATAGTATATTTTATTAAGGCTCTCTAGTCTATGCAGTGCAAAATAATAGTCCAATCAGTCCAATAGTGGGATAAACTATTTTGTGATAATAGCTTAACGTTATCACTTGTCACTTTATTTTGACTTTAATTGTTATCACTGTACTATGAAGTAGTGTATATATTTTCCATGGGCTTGTCGACTTCTCCAAGATCCATGACGTTAAAAGCAGACCAATAGGGAACCAGACATACTCACCAACAACACCAGACGTGACCAATTTCTCCTTCCCAGTCCCGTTATACTCTATCACCAAACGTGTTATTATTATTATTTTTTAGAAAGTCGAAAAAAGTTTTGTTTTTCTTCTCAGTTCTTGTTTATCTCACTTAGAGTAGATGAGTTATTAGATGCAGTTATAATTTGTGTAAATACTTTATAATGTAGACAAATTTACTCGCACTAAAATAAACACGCACACATAACAATAAATATGTAATAATATTTAAATTGTAAATTATTTTGCCTTTTATTATGATAGGTATTATTATTTTTATCATCAACGATTTATCTGAGTGTTTATTTTTACGTTTCAAATATTATTACGCCGAAAAGTGAATTTGCACTTAATACATAGCTGTTTACCGAACGAACCGAAATTACTTATTGAAATGTTCCAGTATATTATCCGTACCTCCAATTTTTTCGTACAAAATTTTGATATTGTTTAACCTTATTAATTCGGCACTCGTCTTATGATTATAAAAATCGTCTTGATCGTGGGCAGCATCTGTTATTGCGCCTCTGGCGAAACACACGTATTTCTATACGCCGAAAGAAATCTATGTCAATGAATGCTGGTAAGTTTTTTTACTTTCATTTTGATGATATAAGATATGAAGTTTTGAATATTCATTTGTATTGAATATCAAATAAATATACTAGTTTTCTGGTCTTAAACGTTTTTGTACAGTCCATACATCATAATGTATAATCATATCAAATAATTTTTTTTCATACTAGGTACCTACGTAAAATTAAGTTTACAAATGCGTTTTTCTTATACAGTTTGTGTTACTAACTGTTAATTTAATGTTAAATAAATGAATAACTGTAATTTTCAAATCATTTAATAAATATTTAAAATATCAATGGGACCAACCCACTGTACATTTTATCTAACCATGTATAATGTATGTAGCATATGCTTTTAGTTAGGACAATGTTATTTCATGATAATGACTGTATGAAGTTTTTAATAATTTAAAATATTTATAATAAAAGCCAATCATGAGAAAACTGTTAATAAAATTGTTTGAAATACCTAGTTGCCTCTTGTTTTTTATGTATTTGTTGATAATAACAATTACTAATATAGATAGAATATCTACTCTAGAATATGTACTCTAGAAAAAAAATTTGATTAAAAATTGATGTCAGATGATAAAACAAATTTTGGAACTGCCTAGTTAGTTTTTTTATATCTAAGAAATAAAATAATCTTGTACTTTGAAATTTATATTAAGTAACTTTTGAAAAACTAATTCTTTTATAATCTTTAGGCTATTATTTTATTAAAAATAATAATTCACTCACTAATAGGTATTTTTGCCTTTCCGTAACAATAGTCAATAAAGTAGGAATAGAACCTAAATCTATAGTTCAGTCATCTGAAATTGAAAATTTATTATTTTGACTTTGTGTTTGTTAGTTTAGTATGTAGGTACCTATTACTTACATATGAGATATTTTATGCCCTTTAAAAAATGCATGATTCAAATCATAATACTTGTAATTCATTAGTGGTAATAAATGTATAATAATAGTTTTCTGTTGGTATCTTAGTCATAACTAGACCTTAAAGTTAGGAGAGCGGACTTCAACCCTAGCATTTTTATAATAAGTCAATAAAATTACAAATATATTCAAGTTTTTGATTTAATTTTCTTTAAATATCAGTGAAAGTTCAACAATTTATATGGCTAACATAATAATACTGTTTAAGCCATTATTTGCAAATCTTTTTTAAATGTCTTCTTTATTTAGAACATTTGATAAATTTCTTTCAATAGCTACAATAAATAACTTAGAGAATCAATCTGGCATTGCTGAAAATGTTCTATCTCTAGATGCAGAACTTGTTGGAACATTAAGTGTTAAATGTAGCATTTTATATACATTTGGTAAAACAGATTTTTGAATAATAATCTTCAGAAACTTTTAATTCCTCTGCTAATATTTTCTAACCATTGATTATCTACCCACATTTCTTGTTTTAATTCAGTTTCATTCATTTAATAAATCCAGAAAACATAAGGAAAATATATTTAACTGATTCATTAAAATAATAACAATAATGTTGACCAGTATACAAATTATTAGACACAAGCACACAACCGTTGTACTTATGATGATCTAAGGACAATGATTATGTAATAAAATATATAGAATCTGATTTTGTTTTTAGCAAGATAAATCCTATAATGGGTCGGCCGGCACAGAAATTGTCTTTATCACCATTTTTACATTAATGTTATAAAAATAAATCACAAGCAGAATCATCAGTCTATTCTTCTTGGTGACATTATTTTTGTGTTTACTTTATTGACAACTTCTGTGTAGTATAAACTAAACGAAATTATACGGGATACACAGGGTCATCACTCATCACATATAATGATAATAATATATACTTAACAACAAAAATAATTTCCCTAGATCTTAAACAATTTTTTTAAATTAAAATGTATAAGTGTAGCTACTGTTGGTGGGAGTATAGAAATTATGATAGGGGGGCTAAAATAAAAGTTCGAGTGGCTTAGCCCCCCGAAGCCCCCACTACTTACACCTATGATTAGTATGTTTTTCCATGAAATTTGCTTGGTGTACTTTTTTGTAGTACCTATTACCTAAATTTAAATGTTTTAGATTGTTCATCTGAGTTAAAACTAAAATTACTTTATATCTCATGTAGCCCATTTTTAAGTTTTGAATAGTTGTGATACTTGTTGTTCAATGTTTTGATATAAGTACCTTTTTTTATTTTCCATTCATAAAAACTATTGAATTCATATATTGTGGGTTATTATGAATAATTTGTTTTATTCATGAGTATTTTTAGTATTTACTTATATGAGGTAACTAAAACAGCAAAAAAAAAAAAAAACAATCCATAGAAACACTTTAATTTGTTGTGTGTCTATTAAATATGTATTTATTTTTATAATTTTATTTTTTTTTTATTTTAAGTTTGTGAACTTAGTAATATACATTTTAATAATCCTGGAACCTGAGCTGGACCTATTCAAAGGCTATATAGGTACAAATGTACAACTGTACAAGTACTAAGTAAAACTTGAGGTAAAACTTCTTTAAATGGTTATCTGTACGGTTTCATAGTTCATTCATATTTTTTCATATCATTAAGTGTTAAATTAGGTATATTACTAAAATTTGTATCACTAGTTGGTCGTTTACTCAAGTGTTAATAAAAAAAATTCCTTTGAGTTTTTATTGGATTAAATACTTTTGAATGCCTTAATATAATAATAATAAAATGGTATGGACTTTGTTTTTTCTTTGATTTACTGACAAATATTAAACAAAATAAAATTATAGGCATTTGTAATAATAATAATAAATTGAATGGTTATATTACTTTACATATTTGTATTACTGCATTACTATTGTAGGTTATATATATGTATATATATATAAATGTATAATAATTAGTGATGAATATGAAATATTTATTTGCTTATATTACTATGTAAACAAAAAATGGCTAACATTGCATTAAAAATCTTTAAATATGCATTTTTAACTTGATATTGTAAAAAATGTATACAATTATATTAAAACTAAAAATTATTGAAACAAATATATATTTTTCAAGAAAAGTACAAAATAAAATACACTTATTCGAATTAATAAAACTATAAATATATACACATATATACAATCTTTATGTTATAAATCTCTTCTCTGATTGATGTCTTCATTCTTTACTCACACAACCGATTGTTGTATCAATTATAATTATTGTTTGTATATAATTCTATGTTAGAGTTTGCAATCATATGTCAAATACAAATGGTATTATTTGATTCTGTTGAACAACAAACAAATTTGTATCTAGGTTAGCAATACTTAGCATTCAATTGGATTAATAGAAATAAATATGCAACTTCATAGAAATCCAAGTCCCTACTAATTTATAATGAATAGTTAAAATTTCAATAATTATAAGTTTAATTCAAAGAGGTTTGTGTAATAAAGCTATTGATATTTTATTAGTATTTTAATCCCAGTTATATTGCAATTAACATTTGATTATTCATTGTTTTTTTATACTAGTGTGTACAATGTTTTCAATATTGTATCTTAATTTAGTAAATTTCTTACCACCCAATTTATCAAATATTTTATTTTATTTCATATGATGTGGGTATGAAAATGGTCGCATTTTTGTTTACTGTTATGATTTAGTCTAAGCTAGCAAACGTGAGGTTTTTTTAAATTACATTTTCATATGACTACTATATTACAGAACCTATTACATTTAGGAATACCAAGAAAATTTTTTAACATAAAAAAATAAAACTATATTTTTGTTAGTCCCTGATTATTTACCAATTCTTTGGATTTTTCTCTTCCGTATAGTTCAGATATATTATGGTTTTCATTATGTCTGATAAAAGCTTAAAAACCAAATATTAACCAAGATTGTTATTCATTTATGTACTTATTTTTTATTTTATTCTCAACCTGTGTTCAAAACACCAACAAATTGAATTCGTTCATGTTCACATTATTTGAAAAAACAAATTAGTTTATGTACATTTTTTATTTTATTTTTATAAATAATTGTTAAAATACTTTTTGCAAAATAGTGAAAATTATAATATTATTGTTGTTGTATGTCGGGCAGGGTGCACATGAATTGTACGTATTTTATTTTTAGAATTTGTATTCTAATAAATATAATCAGAATTTTATAAAAGAAAAATGTCATTAGGTATATAATATTATTAATCAATATTTATACATAATATATTTATTAAATTGTAAATACATTTAAATGTCTTAAATATGATATAAAAATCATTCAAATTCATTAAAAAGTATAAACATTGTTACATTGAAAAAAAGAGAGTGACCTTTACGTATCGTTCACTAAATATTAACATGAACATACCTGAACACGTGTTCATGAACTGAAATCAATATATATCTAATTAAATACTTTGTATATTATTATTTTATGTTCCCACATTACTATTGTAATTGGGCTAGCCTGTTTAATCATAATAAATAAAATAAAATCAATAAAATCAAATTATTTTTTGAGTTTGTAGTTTGATATTATTACACTTCCCAATATGTGTTTGTAGCTATTACTAAATGAATTAAAAGATTATTTTAAGACTTTTTCTGATGTTTAACTCCATTTTATTCTTACTCTTTGTTTTTTTTGTTATCTACAACTCATTCTAAAATTATAAAACAGGTTATTTGATTTCTCTTTGCTAATTCTATAATCATAATATTTGCTGCATTTTTTTAAGCTGTTCATTTGTCATTCACTTATGTCATACTAAAACTTAAATTTGTGTTTGTAAAAAGAAAACAAAGTGTACACTTTCTCTATTTGTTTTCCTTTTAGGTAAATAAAAGATAAATTGATATGTTATGATTTATATGGATTTACACAAATTGTAGAGAAATTTAAATGCACAATTATGTATTCATTATTTGTTTAAAGTAGGTCTATGTTAATAATTTCTTTGAAATAAAATATAAGTATAGTAATTAGTAGCATCGTAATATAGTCAATAATTATTTCTGATATTTATCTTCC